TTGCAGCCTTCTACGATGTTCACAACTAAAGATATTTGGCAAACCAGAAAGGTGGTACAGAGGTGGTAAAAAGTGGTAAAAGTGGTGTTTCTGTTGAGATACAAAATTGGCAACAAGTCTAATTATGTTCGTAGGGGTCCTAACTACCATATTCCGTTGAGAAATCCTTGTGAACATTCAAATCCAACGGAATGCCACTTTTCCCCTTACTATTAGTCCCCATTTAGATTTCAAAAAATCTGGCTTCTCCAGACCAGATCGTAAACTTCTCAAGACTGAAGTCTAGAATATTTATAAATGGTCACTGGACATTCCTGACTTCTTGGGAGCTACTTGAGGGCTGTTAGAGTACCTAACTAACTTGAAAACCATAAATAACTGTCAAAAATTCTTTGGACTTATGGGGACAAATGGTGAATTACGTCAACGAGTTGACCTCTAGTCCCCATGATTTTTAGTCCCCATTAGTCCCCAAAAGTCTCCATTGGTAGTCATTGGCCCCCCCCCCCCCCCCCCCCCCCCGGAGAAGGATGAGGAGGAGGACTGAGGAGGACTGACGACTGAGGAGGAAGAGGAGGAGGATGAAGAGGAGTAGGAGGACCCAGGAGGAGGACCCAGGAGGAGGAGGAGGACTGGGGAGGAGGAGGACTGTTGAGGACTGATGAGGAGGACTGAGGACGAGGAGGAGTAGGAGGAGGACTGAGGAGGGGAGGAGGAAGAGGACTGAGGAAGATCAGGAAGACCCAGGAGGAGGAGGAGGAAGAGTAGTAGGAGGAAGCATCTAAATGTTATTTCCATTTTTGTCCATTTTTGTCCATTTTTGTCCGTTTTTGTCCGCTCTATTTTTTGTCCGTTTTGAAAATATAGGGTACCGAACGGACAAAAAACATGATCCCCCCTATAACAGCAAAAATTGAACATTTTATTTAGCAATTTAGGTGTCCATTAATGTCCGCTAATGTCCGTATATGTCCGTCTATGTCCGCCAATGTCCGCCTATGTCTGTCTATGTCCGCCTATGTCCGTCTATGTCCGCCTATGTCCGCCTATGTCCGCCTATGTCCTGTCCTTTTTGGATTCTATGAGACAAGCGGACATAGACGGACGTGACACCCCCCCCCCCCCCCCCCCCCCTTTGGTGTTGATTTCCTCACAAATGGGATGGTGCCAAACATTGCACTGTTCACAAAGGAGCCCATCTTGTTCAGCAAGAACACCTAAGTGGCATGTTGGACAGATATCTTCTTGGGTGCTGTGGTCTGATATTAGGATCTGTTGTCTGTTAGATTTCAGTCTTTCCGATGTTATGAACTCATCTATGGCTGTGTTAGGAGCTTGGATTTCTTGTGCTCTTTTGTGAATGTGGATAAATCTATGTGGATAAATCTATACCTGGTTACATAATTGAAACAACTATGGCCCCTAATTGTGGGCAGAATATGTGTCGTTGAGGTGTCAGCTGGTATACAACTTATTTCAAATCTGTGATCTGAGTGACTGCATTAAAATAATTTAAGGAAATTACTTTTAATATGCAATTATTATTTTGCTTCTAAAATTCTCTGATAATTAATAATATATCGTGACATGTAATTGTAAGATAACAAATCTCGCGCGCGCGGCGCTTACATCTGCACCTGAGAATCTCTCAGCAATGTGTGGCTGTCTGCGCGGCGGGCTGTGTATTGTGTATATAGCTGAATTTAAATTTAGATTTATTTGTAAATGTATAATAATATTAAATATGTATTGATTGTTTTGTGGTAAATAAAAATTTTGTTTTACTAAATTTTGTTTTACTTTAAAACAGCACAAATAAATATTTAGGTAAAATAATCGAATGGAACAAATAAAATTGCAGCCACCTAAATTGCTTTCAGTAGTTAAAAGTGTTTTATATTAATTATGATGAAAGCAGCTTCCCAAAGAAGCCCAGATTCAAACATGAGACAAAAATCATATACAATGTAGTTAAATATAGTAATAACTTAAATTAAATATTAAATATTTGTATATTTGATGTTAAAGTTCAAAGTTGGAAGTGCAGCAGCTGACTTTATACATGCTATATTATATTTAAATTGTAGTGTTTACCTGAAGACCTTAATTGACGATGTCAATTCATGGCAGCTCGGCGCGGCACAGTAGCGCATTTGGCATCTCGCCGATCTGGCCTTATTGAGTGCGCGGCGCGGCACAGTAACGCATCGCGCTACAACTGAAGACCTTGCAATCGACAGCTAGTCTTGTCATGTCTGTTCATAATAACAAACAAGATATGGCGGAATGACAAGTTAACTTACTGAGCCGCGCTCAGCCTGTCATTCCGCCTAATCTCTATTCGTTTATGAACATGAGTGGCTCCCCCTGTATCGTCTCCCCCTGTAGCGGCTCCCCCTGTATCGTCGAAGACGATACATACTATAGTGAAGCGACCGTGGGGGTCACCACGTGATACAAGGCATGACAGGCTGAGCCGGTTCCAATTAGAATTAGACCTCTCCATGGATACACAGTATTCCAGTATATTTATTTCTAGTTCCTGGCATCCAATGATTTAATTTCATTCCCCTTGATGGTTCCAATTAGAATAAGACCTCTCCATGGATACACAGTATTCCAGTATATTTATTTCTAGTTCCTGGCATCCAATGATTTAATTTCATTCCCCTTGATGGTTCCAATTAGAATTAGACCTCTCCATGGATACACAGTATATGCACGCGAGAGATGTTTCCTCTGAGATTATGCTGATGCCGGATGCATCACAAGCACATATTATTCGAACTGCAAATCGGAGAATTTTGTTATAATCCTGAACTTAATTTAAAATCCTTACTTAAAATCAGTTCTCATCCAATACTTTACAGATATTGCATCTAAGAGAGTAACAGTAGTAATGTATGTGCTGATTTGGCTGCAAAAAATATCTATTCTGCACAGTTGTCACGTGGTGTAAAAGAGAGCCTCTGATTGGTCATTAAGGCAGTGTCACGTGATTTATATTGCTGCAAAATATCTATTCTACACAGTTGTCACGTGGTGTAAAAGAGAACCTCTGATTGGTCATTAAGGCAGTGTCACGTGATTTATATTCGTTTTTGTGAATCTGGTTGGCTAGTTGGCGTTGTCACGTGATCACAGGTAGTCGACCACAGGTGGTCGAACTACAGATTACCATTTATGGTATAACAAGGGAACATTGCCTTCTAATATGGAGTAGGGTTTCTATCGAGTCACGTGATCAAGGTTAAGACCAATCAGCGTAAAATATCAAAGGATGTAAACATCAGTTTTACACAAAGACAAAAATAGAATGAAACTACAGCTTCCAATTACAAATTTACATATACTGTATACAAAACCGATGTGAGATACATCAAATGTCTAAAAAAGTGGTACTGATGCCGTCATCAAGTATCTTCCTTTTACAGTAAAAGTAGCTCAAGCCCTTTCTTTCCATTCGATAGCTCAACATGGTGTTGTTCTTGACTATGAAGCCTCTGTTTGTTGAGCTGACACTTTGCTTCGTTTGCAGAACTGAACGGAAATGCTCTATAGTGACCTGAGCTGCCTTGTTGATGCCTTTTGTCGAACACTTCTCTTTCTGTTTGGCATCAGGTTCGAAACAGAAATAGGTTTTAGCCGAAAGTCCAACAAAGCCACCTCCGCTCCACTCTACTTTGAATAACCCTGAAAGTAAACGACAATTATACTACCGACGCGACACCAACCGCAGAGAATATTGAGATACATTTTGTATACAATAATGAATAACCCTCGCGAAACTTTCAAGATAAAATCAAAGTGACATTAAACTTGTCAAAATAATAATAAAGTTAAACAACACAGCAGACCACTCACCTGGCGTCCTCCTATCGTAAGCCGCGTGTTCTTCGGTATCTGTACGAGGAAACCACTGCAACTTTATCTGAGCCCAATCTTGCCTGAGCTCAGGTTTTATGAGCTCATCCAGCGTGTCAGCTGCAAGTGCCATGTACAGCGAGTCTGAAAATTCGAAAACGATCAGTACGAAGATGGAAGAATTTATTGTATTTACAGCAAAATGGAACGTGCGTGCCCGCGCATTACACGACTTTAGCGCGAAGAATACTACAAAAAATAATTTTGCGTCAGCGCACAAAATGAACAGAAGACCGTATTTCAGGTTTTAGCCAATGTCACAGTTTTGATCGTTTTGTACGGAATGTATCGATTAGATTATAGATTATTTGAACTTACCCGTATCCATCTCACAAAGAGAGAAGTACGGTCGAGGGATGTAACTCACGAGCACATCAAAGTAAAAAGAGAGCATTCTTAACTTTGCATAGGAGTAAACGAAAAAACCAATCTGGATAGGAAGATTGTGACGTATACTCTTCTTTCTCGATGTTACCTATAGAAGACACTATTAGGACTACATTCATATGAAATCGATGAAATCAACCATGAGGATTCAAACTGCAGATCACAGTAAATGTAGGCAACAATAATTACGGTAAGACAAATTAAAATTACCTCGTAGCAGTTATCTGAAAGCTCATCCAAGGCGGAGAAGCGGGGGCCGTTAATGAGATCTGCGGCAGTCTCCTGATCCACTACGTCCACCTTGACGTGCTTGCTCTTGTTCATTATCGTATATCCATAGAAGCTGTTCCCTGAGATAAACGATATTTGAACACTTGGAATCTAAAAGCAGGTGCTCGAATGTAAACGTGATCATAAGTTTGATCAGGCAGTAAAGGAATATTGAGATCGCGTCAAGAGATATAAGCTAATGAAAATGTAGCTATTTATCTACCTATTAGTTTGTAGTAATGTATGTGCTGATTTGGCTGCAAAAAATATCTATTCTGCACAGTTGTCACGTGGTGTAAAAGAGAGCCTCTGATTGGTCATTAAGGCAGTGTCACGTGATTTATATTGCTGCAAAATATCTATTCTACACAGTTGTCACGTGGTGTAAAAGAGAACCTCTGATTGGTCATTAAGGCAGTGTCACGTGATTTATATTCGTTTTTGTGAATCTGGTTGGCTAGTTGGCGTTGTCACGTGATCACAGGTAGTCGACCACAGGTGGTCGAACTACAGATTACCATTTATGGTATAACAAGGGAACATTGCCTTCTAATATGGAGTAGGGTTTCTATCGAGTCACGTGATCAAGGTTAAGACCAATCAGCGTAAAATATCAAAGGATGTAAACATCAGTTTTACACAAAGACAAAAATAGAATGAAACTACAGCTTCCAATTACAAATTTACATATACTGTATACAAAACCGATGTGAGATACATCAAATGTCTAAAAAAGTGGTACTGATGCCGTCATCAAGTATCTTCCTTTTACAGTAAAAGTAGCTCAAGCCCTTTCTTTCCATTCGATAGCTCAACATGGTGTTGTTCTTGACTATGAAGCCTCTGTTTGTTGAGCTGACACTTTGCTTCGTTTGCAGAACTGAACGGAAATGCTCTATAGTGACCTGAGCTGCCTTGTTGATGCCTTTTGTCGAACACTTCTCTTTCTGTTTGGCATCAGGTTCGAAACAGAAATAGGTTTTAGCCGAAAGTCCAACAAAGCCACCTCCGCTCCACTCTACTTTGAATAACCCTGAAAGTAAACGACAATTATACTACCGACGCGACACCAACCGCAGAGAATATTGAGATACATTTTGTATACAATAATGAATAACCCTCGCGAAACTTTCAAGATAAAATCAAAGTGACATTAAACTTGTCAAAATAATAATAAAGTTAAACAACACAGCAGACCACTCACCTGGCGTCCTCCTATCGTAAGCCGCGTGTTCTTCGGTATCTGTACGAGGAAACCACTGCAACTTTATCTGAGCCCAATCTTGCCTGAGCTCAGGTTTTATGAGCTCATCCAGCGTGTCAGCTGCAAGTGCCATGTACAGCGAGTCTGAAAATTCGAAAACGATCAGTACGAAGATGGAAGAATTTATTGTATTTACAGCAAAATGGAACGTGCGTGCGCGCGCATTACACGACTTTAGCGCGAAGAATACTACAAAAAATAATTTTGCGTCAGCGCACAAAATGAACAGAAGACCGTATTTCAGGTTTTAGCCAATGTCACAGTTTTGATCGTTTTGTACGGAATGTATCGATTAGATTATAGATTATTTGAACTTACCCGTATCCATCTCACAAAGAGAGAAGTACGGTCGAGGGATGTAACTCACGAGCACATCAAAGTAAAAAGAGAGCATTCTTAACTTTGCATAGGAGTAAACGAAAAAACCAATCTGGATAGGAAGATTGTGACGTATACTCTTCTTTCTCGATGTTACCTATAGAAGACACTATTAGGACTACATTCATATGAAATCGATGAAATCAACCATGAGGATTCAAACTGCAGATCACAGTAAATGTAGGCAACAATAATTACGGTAAGACAAATTAAAATTACCTCGTAGCAGTTATCTGAAAGCTCATCCAAGGCGGAGAAGCGGGGGCCGTTAATGAGATCTGCGGCAGTCTCCTGATCCACTACGTCCACCTTGACGTGCTTGCTCTTGTTCATTATCGTATATCCATAGAAGCTGTTCCCTGAGATAAACGATATTTGAACACTTGGAATCTAAAAGCAGGTGCTCGAATGTAAACGTGATCATAAGTTTGATCAGGCAGTAAAGGAATATTGAGATCGCGTCAAGAGACATAAGCTAATGAAAATGTAGCTATTTATCTACCTATTAGTTTACTGGTCTCAGCTACAACTCTCAAGGCCGGATCTTGATCACCAGCCCTCCTGTCTTCCGATACGTTGTCAGCAAAGGATTTGAAGCACCTGCTGGGTGCGAATTCTATGACTTGATGGATATCCGTCACCTCAAGCCCATGCTGAACGTACCAAATCAATAACGGCGTGATTATCAGAATCTTCTCGGCAAACATTGACCCGATTAAATATCGAGTCGGCTTGAAAGATTTCCCCGTTGAACGGAGGAATTCAGTCATATGTTCACCGATATCATCTGCCGTCACGGTGGTATTTTTAAAGATAGGAGGCATTTCTGCATAGTGAGCCTTGAGGTGATCAGGAACCCTCAAGTCACATTGAACCGCACCAAATAGGTGTCCGTTCAAGATTTCTTCGAGTATCCTGTCTTTAGTCATTCTATACAGGTGTTCAGTGGTATAGACGTAGCGGTTGTGAATATCATGCCCTTTCTTGTATTGAGTCCACGAGCATTCCCACATTTCCACCAGGGTATAACCCAGCTTCCTGATGTAATCACTAATCTCTTTCGTCTTTTTGAATTTTTCATTCAAAGTTCTGCCGCTGACTTTGACGTCGCGATTATCTTTCTTGCAGGAAGGGCAGCCATGGAAATAGCACCCTTGAAACTGGTAAACTGTGTTCGTCTCCCTAGAATCAAAACAAATTAAGATACGTTGTTTTTTCCGCGTTATCACCAAAACTATTTGAATATAACATTAATTCATATGTAGTTCACTAATGGAAATAGGAAACATAAAACATACCTGTGGTAACCATCGACAGCGAGTCTCCTGGCGCCGATTCTGTACTCCCCTGTGTTTCTGACATGTTGTATTGAGATGTTTTCCCGATGCTCAACATCAGCCAACCATTCCGTTGCCACCATAGAGATCGGGCTAGGATATTCTTTGCGGAAGTTGTCAGCCGCCCTTCTTCGAATGTATAGCCCGGAGGCCATCTCTTGAGCTGTACACCATAAATAAAGGGCGTTGGCATCTGTAATTGAGTAATTGGTAAGAAATGTGATGTGATTGAGAGCGTTACATAACTTTTACGGAAGCAAGAACGATATTGACTGCTTACTGAAATAAGCAGCAAATCGAATGGAAATTGTTGTTGATATACAACAGAGTTACAAAAACACTATTGGTCATTCAGTTGATTTGTTGAATGTGATAAACATTTAATTTACCAAGCCCCAGGATTTTCCTTGTGACAGGATTATGTGCATCGTGTCCAACTGTGGTCACACCAGCCTCTTGAAAACGGTCAAAGATTAAAGCTGGTCCACCAACCTGTAAAATAGATTACAGACCTTTAAAATAGAAGACAGACCCTTTCGGAAACTTGGGTTATTGTGTATCTGTAAGACGTGATTATTTAAAAGATTTTTGATAGTATTGTGTAATAAGGCAGTATTGTGTAATAAGGCAGTATTGTGTAATAAGGCAGTGGAAGTGGAACATCCAGTTCTGGTCTGTGGTTAGGGAAAGTTAGAGAAAGAGAATACAATGGAGATTGTGGGTTGGACCTCACCTGGACGGACGAGAAATATGTCACTCTGGAGGAGAGACAATGGTTCTAGGAGAACTCAGACGTAAACCCTTTGTGTAGATAGAGAGTCAAAGATAGATGTGAGCTCTAACAAACTATGGATTCAGAGGTCATCAGACAGGAAGCTTTGGATAAAAGATGAATAGTCGTAACACCTGGATTCGGGACAATGAAGCTTTAGTGGGAGATAAGACCAGCTGCAAAAGGTGTGAGCAGGGGCACGTGAGTCTGGTTAGAGAGGTCGGGTGAAAAACCACGGACGCGGCAGTATTTATATCTGGGGGCTGGACCTGGCAAGAAAGAGATAGAGTTTGCCCGATTCGAGGGCCATTCGTGTAGGTTACTTTGGAGCCAGGACCTGTTACGTCAGGGTCACTTGCTTCAGATTCGTAGATTATTTGTAGTAATTTAGGTTACGAACAACAAAAACGAAAGTAATAATGATGGTAAAAAAGGGTAAGAAACAAAATGATTAACAATCCAATTACTACAAAATACACTTCCTAATTACTCTGACTTATGACGCCCTACATCTAAGTTGTAAAACACACGTCCTTACTCTACCTTTACCTATCACGGTTAACCATCGTTAACCGTCTCTAACGGAGTCTTACCCTTAAACTACACTTACATAACACTTTCAGTCCTCACTAACTACAGACCACGATAATGCTCTCTCCGGGACCCTGACGTAACAGGTCCTGGCTCCAAAGTAACCTACACGAATGGCCCTCGAATCGGGCAAACTCTATCTCTTTCTTGCCAGGTCCAGCCCCCAGATATAAATACTGCCGCGTCCGTGGTTTTTCACCCGACCTCTCTAACCAGACTCACGTGCCCCTGCTCACACCTTTTGCAGCTGGTCTTATCTCCCACTAAAGCTTCATTGTCCCGAATCCAGGTGTTACGACTATTCATCTTTTATCCAAAGCTTCCTGTCTGATGACCTCTGAATCCATAGTTTGTTAGAGCTCACATCTATCTTTGACTCTCTATCTACACAAAGGGTTTACGTCTGAGTTCTCCTAGAACCATTGTCTCTCCTCCAGAGTGACATATTTCTCGTCCGTCCAGGTGAGGTCCAACCCACAATCTCCATTGTATTCTCTTTCTCTAACTTTCCCTAACCACAGACCAGAACTGGATGTTCCACTTCCACTGCCTTATTACACAATACTGCCTTACAGAAACAGAGACATGGTGTGAGAAGAAGAGAGAGACGCAGAAAGGTTGATAATTAAGAGGAACACCAGTGGAACAAGAGAGATACACAGTAAAAGAAACAATAGAACGATGTTGGGAGGAGACCTGGAGACTTGGAGACTTACCAGGTTGTAAATACATTCTAGTAGTAGCAGTTGAATCCAAAAGGTTTTACGCTATTCTTCCAACCTAAAAACGAAAAGATTTGATAGATGTGGAAGAGTAATGAATTTATAAAGTAAACTTAGACTGGATTGAATAACTATGGGGGATTATCATCCCCCAGGGGCGGTGGAGAAAAGCTGATCAATACATAAGGAGCGAATCTAATCATCCGGAAAGGAGCTGCTCACCATATCATTTTGGATAGGAAGACTGGGGTTCGGAGTCGGAGCTGTCGGGGCAACAAGTGGAGTGGGGAAAAATACCCAAAATAAAGTACAAAGTGACACGAGGAGGAGGAGCAGGAGGATCGTCAGAAGAACTGATTTCGCCATGTTGTAGTGTTGTACAGAGTCAGACATAATTAAGACGGAGTGAAGTAAGTGAGTCAAGCATTATACTTATATAGACAATAGAACATAATATGAAGATGAACAGTGAATAGATGGCCCGTCATGGGGTTCAAAAAGGAACAATTTTATTTGGTTCTGGGACAGAGTAATGAGTTTGGTAGAGTAAGAATTTTGAAAAGTGAGTTAAAGATAGTCTTGGAACGATAGTCTGTAGTACGAGATTTTCTATAAAGTTATTATATGTACTATTATAGTAAAGTTCTAAAAAAGCTCAGATTTTGTAAAGTTGTGTAAGCTGTGAATATTGAGTGATTAGGAGCAGGCATGGAATAGAGTCTGTAGTACAAGAGTTTCTATTAAATTATTATACTGTTATAGTAAGGTTCTAAAAAAGAATATATTTTGTAAAGTTGTGTAAGACGTGATTATTTAAAAGATTTTTGATAGTATTGTGTAATAAGGCAGTATTGTGTAATAAGGCAGTATTGTGTAATAAGGCAGTGGAAGTGGAACATCCAGTTCTGGTCTGTGGTTAGGGAAAGTTAGAGAAAGAGAATACAATGGAGATTGTGGGTTGGACCTCACCTGGACGGACGAGAAATATGTCACTCTGGAGGAGAGACAATGGTTCTAGGAGAACTCAGACGTAAACCCTTTGTGTAGATAGAGAGTCAAAGATAGATGTGAGCTCTAACAAACTATGGATTCAGAGGTCATCAGACAGGAAGCTTTGGATAAAAGATGAATAGTCGTAACACCTGGATTCGGGACAATGAAGCTTTAGTGGGAGATAAGACCAGCTGCAAAAGGTGTGAGCAGGGGCACGTGAGTCTGGTTAGAGAGGTCGGGTGAAAAACCACGGACGCGGCAGTATTTATATCTGGGGGCTGGACCTGGCAAGAAAGAGATAGAGTTTGCCCGATTCGAGGGCCATTCGTGTAGGTTACTTTGGAGCCAGGACCTGTTACGTCAGGGTCCCGGAGAGAGCATTATCGTGGTCTGTAGTTAGTGAGGACTGAAAGTGTTATGTAAGTGTAGTTTAAGGGTAAGACTCCGTTAGAGACGGTTAACGATGGTTAACCGTGATAGGTAAAGGTAGAGTAAGGACGTGTGTTTTACAACTTAGATGTAGGGCGTCATAAGTCAGAGTAATTAGGAAGTGTATTTTGTAGTAATTGGATTGTTAATCATTTTGTTTCTTACCCTTTTTTACCATCATTATTACTTTCGTTTTTGTTGTTCGTAACCTAAATTACTACAAATAATCTACGAATCTGAAGCAAGTGACCCTGACGTAACAGGTCCTGGCTCCAAAGTAACCTACACGAATGGCCCTCGAATCGGGCAAACTCTATCTCTTTCTTGCCAGGTCCAGCCCCCAGATATAAATACTGCCGCGTCCGTGGTTTTTCACCCGACCTCTCTAACCAGACTCACGTGCCCCTGCTCACACCTTTTGCAGCTGGTCTTATCTCCCACTAAAGCTTCATTGTCCCGAATCCAGGTGTTACGACTATTCATCTTTTATCCAAAGCTTCCTGTCTGATGACCTCTGAATCCATAGTTTGTTAGAGCTCACATCTATCTTTGACTCTCTATCTACACAAAGGGTTTACGTCTGAGTTCTCCTAGAACCATTGTCTCTCCTCCAGAGTGACATATTTCTCGTCCGTCCAGGTGAGGTCCAACCCACAATCTCCATTGTATTCTCTTTCTCTAACTTTCCCTAACCACAGACCAGAACTGGATGTTCCACTTCCACTGCCTTATTACACAATACTGCCTTATTACACAATACTGCCTTATTACACAATACTATCAAAAATCTTTTAAATAATCACGTCTTACAGATACACAATAACCCAAGTTTCCGAAAGGGTCTGTCTTCTATTTTAAAGGTCTGTAATCTATTTTACAGGTTGGTGGACCAGCTTTAATCTTTGACCGTTTTCAAGAGGCTGGTGTGACCACAGTTGGACACGATGCACATAATCCTGTCACAAGGAAAATCCTGGGGCTTGGTAAATTAAATGTTTATCACATTCAACAAATCAACTGAATGACCAATAGTGTTTTTGTAACTCTGTTGTATATCAACAACAATTTCCATTCGATTTGCTGCTTATTTCAGTAAGCAGTCAATATCGTTCTTGCTTCCGTAAAAGTTATGTAACGCTCTCAATCACATCACATTTCTTACCAATTACTCAATTACAGATGCCAACGCCCTTTATTTATGGTGTACAGCTCAAGAGATGGCCTCCGGGCTATACATTCGAAGAAGGGCGGCTGACAACTTCCGCAAAGAATATCCTAGCCCGATCTCTATGGTGGCAACGGAATGGTTGGCTGATGTTGAGCATCGGGAAAACATCTCAATACAACATGTCAGAAACACAGGGGAGTACAGAATCGGCGCCAGGAGACTCGCTGTCGATGGTTACCACAGGTATGTTTTATGTTTCCTATTTCCATTAGTGAACTACATATGAATTAATGTTATATTCAAATAGTTTTGGTGATAACGCGGAAAAAACAACGTATCTTAATTTGTTTTGATTCTAGGGAGACGAACACAGTTTACCAGTTTCAAGGGTGCTATTTCCATGGCTGCCCTTCCTGCAAGAAAGATAATCGCGACGTCAAAGTCAGCGGCAGAACTTTGAATGAAAAATTCAAAAAGACGAAAGAGATTAGTGATTACATCAGGAAGCTGGGTTATACCCTGGTGGAAATGTGGGAATGCTCGTGGACTCAATACAAGAAAGGGCATGATATTCACAACCGCTACGTCTATACCACTGAACACCTGTATAGAATGACTAAAGACAGGATACTCGAAGAAATCTTGAACGGACACCTATTTGGTGCGGTTCAATGTGACTTGAGGGTTCCTGATCACCTCAAGGCTCACTATGCAGAAATGCCTCCTATCTTTAAAAATACCACCGTGACGGCAGATGATATCGGTGAACATATGACTGAATTCCTCCGTTCAACGGGGAAATCTTTCAAGCCGACTCGATATTTAATCGGGTCAATGTTTGCCGAGAAGATTCTGATAATCACGCCGTTATTGATTTGGTACGTTCAGCATGGGCTTGAGGTGACGGATATCCATCAAGTCATAGAATTCGCACCCAGCAGGTGCTTCAAATCCTTTGCTGACAACGTATCGGAAGACAGGAGGGCTGGTGATCAAGATCCGGCCTTGAGAGTTGTAGCTGAGACCAGTAAACTAATAGGTAGATAAATAGCTACATTTTCATTAGCTTATGTCTCTTGACGCGATCTCAATATTCCTTTACTGCCTGATCAAACTTATGATCACGTTTACATTCGAGCACCTGCTTTTAGATTCCAAGTGTTCAAATATCGTTTATCTCAGGGAACAGCTTCTATGGATATACGATAATGAACAAGAGCAAGCACGTCAAGGTGGACGTAGTGGATCAGGAGACTGCCGCAGATCTCATTAACGGCCCCCGCTTCTCCGCCTTGGATGAGCTTTCAGATAACTGCTACGAGGTAATTTTAATTTGTCTTACCGTAATTATTGTTGCCTACATTTACTGTGATCTGCAGTTTGAATCCTCATGGTTGATTTCATCGATTTCATATGAATGTAGTCCTAATAGTGTCTTCTATAGGTAACATCGAGAAAGAAGAGTATACGTCACAATCTTCCTATCCAGATTGGTTTTTTCGTTTACTCCTATGCAAAGTTAAGAATGCTCTCTTTTTACTTTGATGTGCTCGTGAGTTACATCCCTCGACCGTACTTCTCTCTTTGTGAGATGGATACGGGTAAGTTCAAATAATCTATAATCTAATCGATACATTCCGTACAAAACGATCAAAACTGTGACATTGGCTAAAACCTGAAATACGGTCTTCTGTTCATTTTGTGCGCTGACGCAAAATTATTTTTTGTAGTATTCTTCGCGCTAAAGTCGTGTAATGCGCGCGCACGCACGTTCCATTTTGCTGTAAATACAATAAATTCTTCCATCTTCGTACTGATCGTTTTCGAATTTTCAGACTCGCTGTACATGGCACTTGCAGCTGACACGCTGGATGAGCTCATAAAACCTGAGCTCAGGCAAGATTGGGCTCAGATAAAGTTGCAGTGGTTTCCTCGTACAGATACCGAAGAACACGCGGCTTACGATAGGAGGACGCCAGGTGAGTGGTCTGCTGTGTTGTTTAACTTTATTATTATTTTGACAAGTTTAATGTCACTTTGATTTTATCTTGAAAGTTTCGCGAGGGTTATTCATTATTGTATACAAAATGTATCTCAATATTCTCTGCGGTTGGTGTCGCGTCGGTAGTATAATTGTCGTTTACTTTCAGGGTTATTCAAAGTAGAGTGGAGCGGAGGTGGCTTTGTTGGACTTTCGGCTAAAACCTATTTCTGTTTCGAACCTGATGCCAAACAGAAAGAGAAGTGTTCGACAAAAGGCATCAACAAGGCAGCTCAGGTCACTATAGAGCATTTCCGTTCAGTTCTGCAAACGAAGCAAAGTGTCAGCTCAACAAACAGAGGCTTCATAGTCAAGAACAACACCATGTTGAGCTATCGAATGGAAAGAAAGGGCTTGAGCTACTTTTACTGTAAAAGGAAGATACTTGATGACGGCATCAGTACCACTTTTTTAGACATTTGATGTATCTCACATCGGTTTTGTATACAGTATATGTAAATTTGTAATTGGAAGCTGTAGTTTCATTCAATTTTTGTCTTTGTGTAAAACTGATGTTTACATCCTTTGATATTTTACGCTGATTGGTCTTAACCTTGATCACGTGACTCGATAGAAACCCTACTCCATATTAGAAGGCAATGTTCCCTTGTTATACCATAAATGGTAATCTGTAGTTCGACCACCTGTGGTCGACTACCTGTGATCACGTGACAACGCCAACTAGCCAACCAGATTCACAAAAACGAATATAAATCACGTGACACTGCCTTAATGACCAATCAGAGGTTCTCTTTTACACCACGTGACAACTGTGTAGAATAGATATTTTGCAGCAATATAAATCACGTGACACTGCCTTAATGACCAATCAGAGGCTCTCTTTTACACCACGTGACAACTGTGCAGAATAGATATTTTTTGCAGCCAAATCAGCACATACATTACTACAAACTAATAGGTAGATAAATAGCTACATTTTCATTAGCTTATATCTCTTGACGCGATCTCAATATTCCTTTACTGCCTGATCAAACTTATGATCACGTTTACATTCGAGCACCTGCTTTTAGATTCCAAGTGTTCAAATATCGTTTATCTCAGGGAACAGCTTCTATGGATATACGATAATGAACAAGAGCAAGCACGTCAAGGTGGACGTAGTGGATCAGGAGACTGCCGCAGATCTCATTAACGGCCCCCGCTTCTCCGCCTTGGATGAGCTTTCAGATAACTGCTACGAGGTAATTTTAATTTGTCTTACCGTAATTATTGTTGCCTACATTTACTGTGATCTGCAGTTTGAATCCTCATGGTTGATTTCATCGATTTCATATGAATGTAGTCCTAATAGTGTCTTCTATAGGTAACATCGAGAAAGAAGAGTATACGTCACAATCTTCCTATCCAGATTGGTTTTTTCGTTTACTCCTATGCAAAGTTAAGAATGCTCTCTTTTTACTTTGATGTGCTCGTGAGTTACATCCCTCGACCGTACTTCTCTCTTTGTGAGATGGATACGGGTAAGTTCAAATAATCTATAATCTAATCGATACATTCCGTACAAAACGATCAAAACTGTGACATTGGCTAAAACCTGAAATACGGTCTTCTGTTCATTTTGTGCGCTGACGCAAAATTATTTTTTGTAGTATTCTTCGCGCTAAAGTCGTGTAATGCGCGGGCACGCACGTTCCATTTTGCTGTAAATACAATAAATTCTTCCATCTTCGTACTGATCGTTTTCGAATTTTCAGACTCGCTGTACATGGCACTTGCAGCTGACACGCTGGATGAGCTCATAAAACCTGAGCTCAGGCAAGATTGGGCTCAGATAAAGTTGCAGTGGTTTCCTCGTACAGATACCGAAGAACACGCGGCTTACGATAGGAGGACGCCAGGTGAGTGGTCTGCTGTGTTGTTTAACTTTATTATTATTTTGACAAGTTTAATGTCACTTTGATTTTATCTTGAAAGTTTCGCGAGGGTTATTCATTATTGTATACAAAATGTATCTCAATATTCTCTGCGGTTGGTGTCGCGTCGGTAGTATAATTGTCGTTTACTTTCAGGGTTATTCAAAGTAGAGTGGAGCGGAGGTGGCTTTGTTGGACTTTCGGCTAAAACCTATTTCTGTTTCGAACCTGATGCCAAACAGAAAGAGAAGTGTTCGACAAAAGGCATCAACAAGGCAGCTCAGGTCACTATAGAGCATTTCCGTTCAGTTCTGCAAACGAAGCAAAGTGTCAGCTCAACAAACAGAGGCTTCATAGTCAAGAACAACACCATGTTGAGCTATCGAATGGAAAGAAAGGGCTTGAGCTACTTTTACTGTAAAAGGAAGATACTTGATGACGGCATCAGTACCACTTTTTTAGACATTTGATGTATCTCACATCGGTTTTGTATACAGTATATGTAAATTTGTAATTGGAAGCTGTAGTTTCATTCTATTTTTGTCTTTGTGTAAAACTGATGTTTACATCCTTTGATATTTTACGCTGATTGGTCTTAACCTTGATCACGTGACTCGATAGAAACCCTACTCCATATTAGAAGGCAATGTTCCCTTGTTATACCATAAATGGTAATCTGTAGTTCGACCACCTGTGGTCGACTACCTGTGATCACGTGACAACGCCAACTAGCCAACCAGATTCACAAAAACGAATATAAATCACGTGACACTGCCTTAATGACCAATCAGAGGTTCTCTTTTACACCACGTGACAACTGTGTAGAATAGATATTTTGCAGCAATATAAATCACGTGACACTGCCTTAATGACCAATCAGAGGCTCTCTTTTACACCACGTGACAACTGTGCAGAATAGATATTTTTTGCAGCCAAATCAGCACATACATTACTACTAGTAACAGGACGCTCGCAATATCTTGTATATATATATTTTCTTGTGTTTGAAGTCATTATATCTCAAGTTTGGCACATATAAATTCTCCCAAACTCTCACACATTATCCGTCATATAGCCTTGTAACTATCTGGAAAGTTTAAAGAAAATCTATCAGTCAGACCTTGAGAAAATCAAAAATATATTTTAAGTTATTCACTAAAACACTCTATTTTCGAACTTTTTAACTTTTTATTTTAAACAGATTTATCGTTCTGGCACCGAAATGCTTTACCATAATAAACGTACGGCGCGAGAACATTTCCTCGTCCAAAGTCTGACAGTTAACAACATGCGTAGGATTCCCTCAAGAGGTGAAAACGTAATCGCCACCGGCTGAGCCGCGGCCGCCCAGTAACAAAAACATTTGCTGAAACCCTAACCCTAACGAGAAATTAAACTAACTTCCTTCTACGGCTATATCACGTGATCGAGACAGTTTTTCGACAATATCTCGTCAGGGGAGGATTTTGACCTTATGTCATGGGGTGATTCGGAATCAGCGTCCGAAAATACATCGATTACTCATTCATCATTGTCATTGCAGTTGGTTTCACCTGTCGGGGAGCTTTTAGAACAATCTCGAAAATCGACTGTAGAGTGATTTAGTACGCTCGAATTTAACTAATTAGTTTTAAAAGTGATTCAGAAAAGGTTACTGCAAAATTAAATTACCGGACTGTATATCCAATATCATATATACAATACATTTAATTAACTTTTGTGAAATTAGTAATTTAGAAAAATTTGTAAGGAAGAATAAATAAATTCAACCATTCCAACTTTGGCCTTGGTACTTGCTTCACGTTTCGTGTCAGTTGTCGTTTGTCCTTTCACGTTTGCTTTCACATTTCATTGTTCATATTTCTTTCATTTTAAAATTTAATTGGCGTGTGCCGTGGCAGTTGCGCCGCGCATTGCAAAGAATAATATCGAGCCATCTTTATAGTTCTACTCCACAGAACGCGCGCATCGGCCCTCCGCAAGCGGCCAAATAACTGGCGGTCGGCTCACCTTTCTTACACCCAGGAGTCTACTTTTGATATCCGTTCTGTAAGTTGATTCTTTGAGTTACAAATGTAGCTAGCTACTGTTAGCTTGTTGCAAGATGAAAGATGTACAAGGCTGGTGGGAAGTTCCATCTATTTGTTATTATTGTTCGCTGCTCGGGAATGCTTTTGGATTACCAGACTTTACAATCGAGGTAATATTTTTAATTAAAATGATCAGAAACCTGAGTTTCTTCAGGAATTCAGAACATATTAACCTTTAATAATGGCGATGCTACCCTCACCCTGCTTACCTTAACTGATTTGACCAAGCTTTACCTGAATTATTTCACTGTACGCTAGACTGTCAAATTAATGCATAGTCTAAGGTAACACGCGATAGTTGTCATCTTTTATAAAAATCGGGCGTAGATAATTGGTGAGAAACTAGTATTAACGATTTATTATTAATTTATTATTAATTATTAGCATTTATCTGACTTAAAAATAATATTCAGTGAATCAGTCTACAAATATTACATACTGTTACAGGCCCCTGAATTGTACGTGTATTTTCATATGCAGATTGTTCAAGGCCAGGTTCTTAGATTGCAGATGATATCACAATTATGTCGTCAACATGTCGAAAAGTTATTTTTCTAATAACTAATGGCATTTAAAAGTTTCGAAACTGCCGCCAATTTTAGATTGGTAAGCATTTTATTTTCAAATAAGCAATATATTTCAAGCTACATTCTGCCTTTAAGTAAACTTAAGGATATAGAATATCGTACATTGAACTGAACGATGTAATCAGTAGAGCGCGGGCGGTACACAGTACATCCATTGCCACCATAACCTTAGAAATCACATCCATTATAAATTCAAAGCCCAAAATACCGCTAGTTACAGCACTAATCCACTGTGGGTAAGCTGACGGTACATCGACCAGATCATTGTCCTGATCATTGTCCTGTACAAATCAGTGTACACGCTATTGTACAGGATATATCTAGTTGGCACCTACAGTAAGCAGCTTCTCCGATTACGCTAATTCAATTTGTAGACTGCATATATTACTTGACTAATACATATAACACATGTATGGTATTAATAAGAATAATGCTTTGTTAGCGTTAGCCAACTAAGGTTGTACTTGTATTGTAATACAACAATATAATAATAAATGAATAACTCACGTATGGTTTTATTATTAATTACATGACAGCGGATGCGAAAGAAATTGATTATTCGTCATTATTATAGTATGCTAAAGTTTGCAAAGCTATTATTTAAAACTACTAAGTTTCCTACTCATACACTGTCAAGTTATAATTACTATTATATTACTACTATAAGTAATAATTACTGTCATTCTCCAGCATTAACAAGCATTATTGGAATCTTAATAATAGACACGCTCTTTTTAATAAGCTTATTCTTAAACTCTATAAACAATGAACGATATAATTTATTTCAGAGGCTAGAAGAGGCGCTGTCCACAGAGGAGGAGGATGTATTGCTAACTGAAATGTTCACGACACTCACTCAAGCCATCCTCCCCGAGGCAGTGTAAGTTTCTAATTCTTGTGTAAGTTTCTAATCCTTGTGTAAGTTTCTAATCCTTGTGTAAGTTTCTAATTCTTGTGTAAGTTTCTAATCCTTGTGTAAGTTTCTAATTCTTGTGTAAGTTTCTAATCCTTGTGTAAGTTTCTAATCCTTGTGTAAGTTTCTAATCCTTGTAAGTAACGCATATAATATAGTAATAAATTGAGATTATATATAGTGGAAATTAAATCATCAAATAATGATTAGTTCACTGCATCTTCTTAATTTGTAATGCAATATTTAAAAAACTGATGATGAAGCCAACTTTTTGTGATTGTATTTTCTTGATATCATATGTCAGAGTATGCTGTAAAACACCCGCGAAGTAAAGTACCGTATATTATATTAAGACGCAATAAAACTACCGGACCACGATGTATGGGGACTTACCACCCCATGGCAACATTAAAATATATTGACTCTGTTACATCGTTTCCATAAAGTAGTTAATACTCATTACTCGTAGCTCGATTATTTGATACGCAAATCATAAAAAGTAGTATAAATCATAAATCATAATATGTATTCCTTTGTTGTAATGTATTCGTATGCATCTCCATATATCAAATCCGCGTATTACTCCAGTAGCAGGGAGGAGTTGAGTGTGCACTTCGATGTATAGAGTTTTTTGCTGCTGAATCGGGTTAAATAGGTCATTGGTAACTCAAAAAATCGAGGGCCGCATGTTGTGTCGCTAGTCCCAACCCTGTGGAGCCACGCCCATATTTCATATCAGGTGCGTATATGGGAAATATTTATCTCAGCTTCTGAAGGTCTTAGAGACTCAAACTTGAGTTTAAAATGACCGCAATGCACATGCTTATATTGGTACTATGAAGGTCATGAAAGCCCAAAATGAGTATTTTCGCAGTTATACCAAAATTAAAGTTAGGTGGTATGTGCTGCTCCATAAATGTTATCCGAATGTGTTCATGTTGAACGTTTTACTGTGCTGCAAATGTCTATAAGACTTTTTTTAGCCCGAGATACCATAATTAAGTACATGTTTGATGTTACTACTTTATGATGCATGAAGGTTAAAACAGTTTTTAATGAGTTTTTAAAAACTAAGCACTATAGAGTATAGACCCTACGGTTCTTTACAGTTGGTATATAAATGTGGCCATCGTAGTTAGTTTGAGCTCAAAGAGAGGCCCCTACAACGTTCAGAACTTCAGAAGCCGAGTTAAAACTACTAATAGAATTTGCGTACCTTATCAATTCTGATTCAGAATTACCTTACAAAGGATCCTGTGTTTAGAAACGTTGCAGACACTGAACTTCATACTCGATTTCACTTAACTTCTAAGAGTCGATTTTTACTCACACCCTAGTGAAAATCGGTTTTACTGATTTTTCCAAAAAATAAGCATTCTGGGCCTTCATGACCCTCATAGTGCCAATATAAACATGTACATTGCGGTCATTTTAAGCCCAGTTTTGAGTCTCTAAGACCTTCAGAAGCTGAGATACAAATTTCCCATATTCGCACATAACATGAAATATGGGCGTGGCTCCACAGGGTTGAAACTACTAATAGAATTTGATTACTTTATCAATTCTGATTTAGAATGACCTAACAGAGGACCCTGTGCCTAGAAATGTTGTAGACACTGAGCTGCTCACTCGATTTTCACTCAATTTCTAGTGTAGATTTTTTTTACTCGCGCCCAAGTGAAAATTGGTTTTTCTGAATTTTTTCCCAAAAATAAGTATTTTGGGCTTTCATGACCTTCATAGTACCATTATAAACATGTGCATTGCGGTCATTTTAAGCCCACCTTTGAGTCTCTAAGACCTTCAGAAGCTGAGATACAAATTTCCCATATTCGCACATAACATGAAATATGGGCGTGGCTCCACAGGGTTGAAACTACTAATAGAATTTGATTACTTTATCAATTCTGATTTAGAATGACCTAACAGAGGACCCTGTGCCTAGAAATGTTGTAGACACTGAGCTGCTCACTCGATTTTCACTCAATTTCTAATGTAGATTTTTTTACTCGCGCCCAAGTGAAAATTGGTTTTTCTGAATTTTGTCCAAAAATAAGCATTTTGAGCTTTCATGACCTTCATAGTACCAATATAAACATGTGCATTTCGGTCATTTTAAACTCAAGTTTGAGTCTCTAAGACCTTCAGAAGCTGAGATAAATATTTCCCATATACGCACCTGATATGAAATATGGGCGTGGCTCCACAGGGTTGGGACTAGCGACACAACATGCGGCCCTCGATTTTTTGAGTTACCAATGACCTATTTAACCCGATTCAGCAGCAAAAAACTCTATACATCGAAGTGCACACTCAACTCCTCCCTGCTACTGGAGTATATGTGATAAATTTGCAGCCAGTTTTGTATTATCTGTACATTTCCTAATGACGTGTTCATTCTCGTGATCCCTGACACAAAAATATTGATTATTTGTTTGGTTTCTCGATTTCCATTGTTGTGACTGAGATCACCTCTGGTTTCAACAATTTTATCCTAAAAACTTACATACTAAGAGTTTTATCCAAACTTAAACTACACAGTACAGTGTCCCTACACAACATATATAAACGGAGCGGATATGATAATCACACAAGCTTGTGATATAATGCAGACAGACATAACATTACACACAGTGTACACACTTACTGAAGACAGATATGTAATCAGTAATGATATATACATGTTATGATGTTTCTTCCATTCAAATTTCTGATTGTTTCTGAATAGAATCAGTGAAGACAGATTCCAATGGAGGGAATGGAAATAAATAGAAGAATAAAGTATCGGACATCTCTACGTCATACTCATATTCTAAAATTATTTGTTATATAGTAGTGTTGAAAGTATTAAAACTATATATAATACATGTTAAATAGTACAATTCACATACTAGTAGTGATATGCATGTTAACTGTTAAGGAGTACAAGTCACATAACACGTGACAAGTCACATAACACGTGACAAGTCACATAACACGTGACAAGTCACATGACACGTGACAAGTCACATGACACGTGGAACCAGGATGACCGCCTGAGTGTGTTCAATTATTTTCTAGAAATCATTAGTAGCACATTTCTTCCATCTAATCAGCGGAACAATACAATGTATAATGTACAATGTATAATGACTACCTCATCTACATTTACATGTTCTTCCATCTCGATGAAACTGCTGAGCAAATGAGAAAATCGTATACAATGAAATTAATACATCACTTTGATATGATATAATTATATCAAAGAGAAGGCTGAGCATCGTCATTCCTCACCAGTCACAACAAACTCCCCCGGCCCCTACCTAACAACCTAAACAGTCACAACAAACTCCCCCGGCCCCTACCCAACAACCTAAACAATGCTCATTCCTCACCAGTCACAACAAACTCCCCCGGCCCTTACACAACAACCTAAACATCCTTGTTCCTCACCAGTCACAACACCCCCCCCCCCGGCCCCTACCCAACAACCTAAACAATGCTCATTCCTCACCAGTCACAACAAACTCCCCCGGCCCTTACACAACAACCTAAACATCCTTGTTCCTCACCAGTCACAACAAACTCCCCCGGCCCTTACACAACAACCTAAACAGTCACAACAAACTCCCCCGGCCCTTACACAACAACCTTAACATCCTTGTTCCTCACCAGTCACAACAACCCTCCCCCCCGGCCCCTACCTAACAACCTAAACAATCCTCATTCCTCACCAGTCACAGCAAACTCCCCCGACCCCTACCCAACAACCTTAACAATCCTCATTCCTCATCAGTCACAACAAACTCCCCCGGCCCTTACCCAACAACCTAAACAGTCACAACAAACTCCCCCGGCCCTTACCCAACAACCTAAACAGTCACAACAAACTCCCCCGGCCCTTACACAACAACCTAAACATCCTTGTTCCTCACCAGTCACAACAAACTCCCCCGGCCCTTACCCAACAACCTATTAACAGTCATAACAAACTCCCCCGGCCCTTACCCAACAACCTAAACAGTCACAACAAACTCCCCCGGCCCTTACCCAACAACCTAAACATCATTGTTCCTCACCAGTCACAACAACCCCCCCGGCCCCTACCCAACAACCTAAACAATCCTCATTACTCACCAGTCACAACAAACCCCTTCGGCCCCTACCCAACAACCTAAACAGTCACAACAAACTCCCCCGGCCCTTACCCAACAACCTAAACATCCTTGTTCCTCACCAGTCACAACAAACTCCCCCGGCCCTTACCCAACAACCTAAACAGTCACAACAAACTCCCCCGGCCCCTACCCAACAACCTAAACAATGCTCATTCCTCACCAGTCACAACAAACTCCCCCGGCCCTTACACAACAACCTAAACATCCTTGTTCCTCACCAGTCACAACAAACTCCCCCGGCCCTTACCCAACAACCTAAACATCCTCATTCCTCACCAGTCACAACAAACTCCCCCGGCCCCTACCCAACAACCTAAACAGTCCGCTATGTAAGGAATGTGACCTTGACACACGAGAGACTGTTACAATGTTACATGTAATAATACAGTTTATAAGGTGACCTGTTGAAATGTAGTATTAGTCAGAATATATCGCGTGTGTGTGTGTAGGTGGAGCTGTATATTAGCACCAGTATTAGGAGTCATGACATGTAACTCAGACAGTGATATTGTGATTGTTCCATTGAGTATAGTACTTGCTTTTGAGATATTTGGATGTTATGTCGGGTACACAATAGCGGTAGAGAGGGGGGTAACAACTGTTCAAGGGTATAGTGTTGCAGTTCCCAGGGAATATCGTAATGTTGTACCACTTTATCAAGAGAGTAGTTGCGGTAGAGAGGGGGGTAACAACTGTTCAAGGGTATAGTGTTGCAGTTCCCAGGGAATATCGTAATTTTGTACCACTTTATCAAGAGAGTAGTTGCGGTAGAGAGGGGGGTAACAACTGTTCAAGGGTATAGTGTTGCAG